TATAAAATAAATGTCAGTCTGTTCGTCTTTGAATCTAGATGCTCATTCCAAAATTAAGATTCGAATGGAGAAGAGCGAGCAAGAAACTTCATTCGTTACTTCGAATCTTAGACGATTCTTTATAGTTGCGTTGCGGGTGTCTATGGGTAACGCTGATTGCTTTTTTTAAGGGGGGAAATCATCGAATCCCGCCTGGGTGAACTGACTCCTGCCCTTCGGGCCGGAGCCCCGGCAACCCGTCAAGTCCTACGCGGCTCCGTGTCGGCATCAGCCCTATAGGGCGCTATCCGTGGTGGTCTGTCGGCTCTTTGAGGCACGCGCAGAACGCTACGCGCCGTACGCTCGGGTCTGGTTCTGATCGGGCGGCGAGTCGCCTTTGGTCGCCGTCCGCAGGCCCGCGCTTAAGGTGGCCGGAGATTGTCCCGCGATCCCCGACACCTGGAGTGTCCTTCGCGACGACGGCTGGGTTGTGAGGAGGCAGCTCTTCTTTAGCTAGCATGACTGCTTCGCAAAAGGAGTAGACGTCATCCCAGTCCGCCTCGGTTCGCATCATAACCCGGACTAGGGCCGGACGCGAGAGGTCGCCGTCGCCGATCACATCCCTGACGCTGATTGCTTACCATCAGGTGATCCGATCTGATCCAATAAGAAGTTTATGACTTACCCGCTGCAAAAGCGAATACACAATATAACAAAACTATACTCTTCATGTCTGTAAAACCACTATTTCTTAATTAGGACTATTAATTAAAAACCTCAAATAACATCCAATTGTCCTATTTATAGACAATTTTTAATTGAATTATCTACAGATTTAGTGTGATATAGTTTTTGACCGCGACTTCGTCTGTTACTAATTAAAAAAATGTATTATTGTCGTTATCATATCGATCGGCATTGAGCAAGCATGGTGATCAATGTTCATGACTTCTCCGTGTGAGGAGAGGCTTTTGGTCAGCAGTCGTGTGCCGAGTGGTCGCAAGTGCGATTACCGAGTAAGGGGTCCTGGGTTCGATTCCGGGATCGGACAAAGTATAACTTGGTTTTTGAAAATTCTCAGTAGTAGCACGGAGTCTGTAATTGTGCCCGGTATATGGCAATAGGCTCACCCCCTCATAGGGAGTCTGATCTGTCGTCGGCGGTATTTCCGAATTGATACGACCTTCAAACCCTTAAGAAAAGAGTGTATTCCTTTTTAAAAGGCCGGCAACGCACCTGTGACTTCTCAGTGGACTGTTCTTTGAATATCAAGCTCCAGGTGCGTTGCTGGTGGCCTTGACTAATAAAAGACTTCGGTGTGTTGAGAAGGAAACTATGTACTTGTAGAACATACTTTTTTAAAAAAAGTAACGAATGGAGTTTCCTGCTCGTTCTACTCCATTCGAATCTACATTTTGGATTGAGCACCTAGCTTCACCTAGCTTCACTGACCGACTGACTGACAGACTATTATTTATTTTGTATTTGTTGACGTTTCAAAAGTACCAAATTATGTTTTAATTGAAATAAATGCTTTGGCTTTGACTTTGAAAGACTGTATTTAATAGTTACCGATTGTAGTCAGCCGATAGACCTTCAAACCTTCAAGAATAGAGCGTATTCCTTTCAAAAGCCAGGCAACGCATCTGTGACTCCTCTGGTGTTGCGGTGTCCATGGGCGGCGCTGATCGCCTACCATCAGGTGACCCGACTGCTCGTTTGCCTCCTATTCCGTAAAAAAACAGACAAATACAATTTTCTTATTTGTAATATTAGATACTAAGATTAGCATATAATAGCTACATAGGTCTCTTATGTTCGTATTGATTTAATCAGCTAATTGATAAAACTACTACATAATATAATTATGTGATAAACACCTGTACATATTTCTATTACGTCATATTAATATGTTTTTGACGCAAAAACAACTTACTGATGTAGGTACATTCGGCCGCATATCAAGCTATGAATAACCAGTGTAGGCTGACCTTCGAATATACAGAAAGATGGTATCAAGCGAGATCATGATAAACTGGATAGTACAGCTCGTTGATCAATCCATATAAACCAGTATACGCTGACCGTCGGATGTATGGAAAGATTGTATTAAGCGAGATCATGATAAATTGGTTCTATAGCTCGTGTATGAATAACCAGTATAAGCTGATCCTCAAATGTTTGGGAGGCTGATACAAAGCAAGACCACGATACACTGGTTATGTATAGTTTGATTTGTTAGCTGTCTACTGCGTAGGTATTCTTTTGTTTTGAATATCATTGCCTTGTATCAGCTTTATTTAATGTAGTGATTTGGAAATAATGCCGACTACAGATGGAGGACAGTAAGTATGGGAGGAATGGGCCGATTCGACCGGAGTGATACCACGACCTCACAGAAAACCGACGTGAAACAACCTATCGTTGTGTTTCGTCGTGTGGATGAGGTTACCGGAGGTCTCGTTACCTCCTCCCCTGTCTCCTTGATCCCCCGATTTATCCCCGACAATTATCAATTACTAAAAGGCCGGTAATACACTTGTAACGTCTCTGGTGTTTCGGGTGTCCAAGGGCGGCGCCGATTGCTTACCATCAGATGGTCCGTCTGCTGGTTTACTGGCTTATCCCAAAAATAAACTCTTTCCACAGTTTAACTGTGCGAAGCAGAAAGTTCCGGGAAAAGCGTACAGTTGTCGCCTGCCAACTATTTTATTTATTTATTTATTTATTTCTGTACACACATACAACATAAAGGACAACACATACATAAAATTAAAGTACAAAGGTACCACCTATTCCTATTGGAATTTCTTCCTGTGGACCTGGAGCAGGAAAAGTAATAATAATATAGTGACACAGTGTGTAGCAACAAATAGAATATTGGGATAGGAAACAGACTTAAAATTAAACAGATAAATAACCTAACAACTACATACAATAAGTCGATAAATAAATACATACAAATTATAAATTATACATATAAATGAAGAAAATTTACATATCAGGAGGAAAGGTAGTGTTCTCTCACTCGTTTTTTAAAGATAGCGATAGACTCAGCGTCCCGAATGTTAGGCGGGAGCGCATTCCACAGTCTCACTGCATGAACGGAAAAGGAGTAGGAATAGAAATCGGTATTATGGGATTCGATTTTAAGATTAGATTTAAGGTGTGAACGAGATAGGACTTCAGGAGGACGAACCAAGGAGAAACGGTCACGAAGGTAAGCAGGATAGACAGGGTTGAAGAGGATGTTGTACTATCTATACGATGGGAATGGAAATGTCGTTAGGGTCGATGGCGAAAAATAGCTATAAGTAGATATACAACATGTAACTTAAATAACGCACATCCTGAAAATAGTTTGTTCAGAATCGTTAACTGAATCGATTTATATAATATTTAGTATAGGTAATTTTTTATCCCAAAAATAATTGAAACTACGGAAATTATTGTCATATTAACCCTGTATTGTTAAAACAAATATCTAGAAATGGACCGTAAGTCAAAGCAATAAGACTTTTAAAATCGCAGTTTTATTTGTATTCATACAAATTCTATCATTCAATACAAAATAAAGAAAAATAAACCTTATGACAAGACCAGTAAGGACGCATATATATGTTAAATTAAAAATTTAGTGTATGTATTATGATTATAACATAATATTCTAATTGGGGTGTTTGAGGGTGTGCGTTAATTACGTTACATGTTGTGTAGACCCTCAGTCAGGCGATGGCGACCTCTAGCGTCCGGGCCTAGTGCAAGCCATGATGCGGAGCGAGGGGGACTGGGATGCCGTCTCCTCTTTTTGCGAAGCAGTCATGCTAGCTAAGGAGGAGGCGGGACGCGTGAGGCAGCGAAGCGCTGCCTCCTCGCAACCCAGCCATCGCGAAGGACACACCGGGCGTCGGGGATCGCGGGACGATCTCCGGCCACCGTAAGCGCGGGCCTGCGGACGGCGAGCATGGGTGGCTCCCCGTCCGACCAGAAACAGACCCGAGCGTACGGCGCGTCGCGTTCCGCGCGCGCCTCAAAGAGCCATCAGACCACCACAGATGGGGCCCAATAGGGCCGATGCCGATTCGGAGTCGCGGAGAACCTAACGGGTAACCGGGGCTCCGGCTCGACGTGCAGGAGAAGGAACGGGGTGGTTTTTAGTCAGTAAGAGTCTGACACTCCCTCCCGCCTCACCCAGGC